TCACAAATATATACCACAGATACATATCATGCCGTGATGGAAGATCAATGCAACAGTCAGTTTGGAATGGAAAGTACACACACTCGCTTGATAAGCATTGTGCGAAGAGCTTGAGCATACCACCAGCCCAAGATATACAGTCAACCACCCGACCGAAAGCACACCCCACCCATCTATGTATCTACGGGCGCAAGTTTAAGTTGTCTGAGATTTTTTTCACTTACTTTGTTTTATGGAACAGGAAACCTTGGCTGGGGGGCTAGGTCTGTGTATTGGCGCGTCTCGTCTCCCAGAACAAAATTCCTTACGGATACAAACTGCAGCTAATCAGTCAATCAAACCTGCCATGAGAAAGGTTACTCACGGTAACAGAAACGTCAGCAAACATAATTCTATACCGACAGTGCTCTGTTATTGACATTATAATACTCACAATAAACACAATACATGGAGCATTGATTTTTCGATATATTCCTAAAACATTAAAGTAATTGCATATCCATTTTGCCTAACTTTGTTATCTTTATTATTTTTACTGCTATTTTGTCACGATTTATCCCCCCCACCCGCCGACTAAATATTTTGAAGTAAATATTGATTTACTAGCTTGTATTAGAATCACCACAAACGAAATGCTCGTTATTATTTTTTTTCTCAAAATGTGCGATGATTCTAAATTCAGACAATACTTTTATCGCATTTACCCGCAAATTTCGACTTTTTGTGCACCCCGAAACACATTTCGCAATTCCTTCGGTTTTAAGACTATTTAACTCTGTACGAGGTTGTCAGTACTGATCACGTGCAAAAAGCACAAAGCGCTCAGGATTGCTCAACATTTTCATGAGGAAACACAGATTAACTGTCGTATCCAGCGGGACTCAGTGTTTAAACAGACACCTACCTTAGGTAGCACTTGTTAACTAAAATTCACCAGATGCGCTTTTGCTAGTGCAAAAGGCCTGCCTTCTATTCCGTACCATTACAGACATAGGGCAAAAGAACAGCAGTCAAACATAACTTTGTTTTTTTATACCTTTTGTTTCAACTGTGAACAAGTTAGACACAATCGTTTGGTCAAAAGGAAACCACTAGTGCATTATTGACAAGAATGGTTGGGGACTCAAATGGTCACTGTTCAAGAACACCAATAAACTGCTGAAACGGTTGTGCACTTCACGCGTCAGAAGACAGGCAAGATAAATTTGTGAGCAATTTCTGTACACAGATGGAACATGCTTGTAGTGGAAGCGCGTTGTCTGATTAGATTTTATATACGAGTAGATCAATTTGGAGATAGGAGAAAACGTTCTCTTTTCGAAATTGGAGCAAGCATCGTTATATCCCCCATTGATAAGTTTTTCTCAGAATGGATAATGGAATTGGGAACCACACCTCGCCGGTTAAAAATCAACCTTAATTTGAACAAAAAAGTTAGGAGGAGAGCAACAACTGAGTACCGGGAGTATGCACTACTGAAAGGTCGGCCTTATCACTATGAGTAATCGGAGAAAAACAGAGCTACTCTCTACATGGGAAAGAAGGAAAGTTCCATTGCCTTCAGTTTGGCAGTTTTAGTAGGTACAGATCAAGGATAGTAATTCCAAGGGTAATACTTACACTCTACATGATTTAATCCGTTCATTGTTTAGTCTCTAGTCTGTGCATTCAAAGATCCAGACGGGAAACAGTTTATGCTTAACTCATTAAAGGCATTTGTAAGTGCCACCACTGGTGTGGCATTAAATGGGGTGTACAGCCGGGTGTGCCGTAATTGTATTCTATGTTTCCAATTCAGGTGTACCATAATTAGGGATATAAATGGCAACAGAAACAAAGACGTAGACTGACGAATATGGATAGTGAGATATGAATAAAAGTTGTGATAGGTTATAGTGAACCGGAATAGTCAGATACTGCGGTGGACTGACTTTCTCTGAGTTTAACATACATATCTCTTTGGGTGAAGTATGCCACCAGTCAGTCAAGAAGAAAGAAGGGATGTTCAGATTATTTCAGTATACAAATCAGAATAGAAACAGACACAGAGAAGCAAATACTCAGGAACGGACAAGAAAAAATACAAATATTTCGGTGTTATTCAAAGGATTACAAATAAATCAAATACTGAAGGAACAAAATTCAGCATAAAGCTTTTGCTTGTTTTCAAATGTATAAACGCCATTAGGGGAGATATACCTCAAGACATCGTGAAAGAGATCATACTATCAACTTAAACCTGTGAAACTTGCAGAGAATAATTAAAATCATTTTTTGAAGTGTTTGAGTGTGTTGTGCCATGGGGAGTAGGCATGCTCCTTGTCGGACCCGGAAAATCAGGAATTGTTCCCAGTTCCATTGAAAACCTAGATATGTGTGTGCAAAAATGAGGGACGTTGATTATGCCCCAAGTTTGGGCATTGTAGAGATAGGTTCATTCAGAATGACTGAACACAAATGTTATATGCAAAACCCGATGAAATCGGTCCAACATTGAAAGGCATTGTAGAACAGCTAAAGAAGAGTAACTTGTGATTGCGACAATCGATGAATGAGAGGACTCAGCATTCAGCTGCGCAATATCAATAGGTGAAATGCTAATCATTTTTTAATGTGAGAAAAGAAGTTTGATTGTGCACCCCCAAGATTTATTTCGCGTAAAACAAACTCATACATTTTAATAATGCATGTTACATAATTAGACGTACCTTACCGTTTTGATCACTTTCCAGAGAAAATACCACCGCATCCGTAATCACTGTTACTGATCCTCCACAACTGTTTGTTTAGTGACCGTGAGCACACCCTATTTATGGTTAACTACTCATTTTGTAATCGATTACATGTTCGCGATGTGAGAGCTCTGCTATTCTATGGTAGCATCTCTCGCTAGTTTTTGGTTGTACATGACGAATTAATTGCACTAACCAAAATGCGCCTGTTTTCTAGCCCATGATAGTACCAGTTGTGCTGCCTAGCTCACACTATGGTATATCAGATCAAAAAATGTAAATGATGTCATTTTTAACTAGATTTATCCCATGATCGGAGCCACAGGCTCAACTAAGACGATCCATAGACACATGGTTATATCGGATGACCGCCTTTAATCGGTGACAAATAAACAGCCTCATCACTGCAGCTGTACATCTCTCTCTAAGCTATTTTTCAAGAAACCCAGCTAGATTGAGCCCTTATTTCGTTTGAACGCAGTTTCCCGGTTTGAACTTAGCAAATGATTTTGACATCTCAGATGTCGAATTCACAAGTAACCGAAAGAGATTTGATCAAATTTCTAATTCACTGAAAAGCATCTTAATTAGGTTATCTGTTCCTGTTGTACACCAAGAATCGATACAAATGGATCAGTTCCTAACTAAGCGAACTAACAATGACATGTTAAAGTCAACTTTATTCAACATGAGTAATACGTCTCAATCAATATTCTATCGAATGTTTTAATTATTGTTCCCAACTTCTGATACCCTAAACTTATCCATTTACTGTTTCGAACTTGTACGATGATGGCCTCCAAGTGTCAGTATCATGTGCACTTCACTTGACTTATGAGGAAAAATTGCCCGGCTTAGCGAAAACGTGTGGAATCCATTTCGGAAAGTGAGATTTCGAAAAATAACAGGTTACTGGGATCAAAAAATCGTACTCCTCGCCCCACATGCGCTTTTCTGATCCTTGCTCAATCCCGGATAACGGACATTTTTCCTTTCAATGACATATCATAGCAATTACACAATTGATTCATTCTGAAACAGGTCGAAATCTTTAGTTAGATATAAAGTTACTTAAACTGCCTTAAGAGACGGAAGAAAGAAAGATGTCACGTTTTATTATATCAAATGATA